CAGGAGGAAGGGAGGGGATATGTTGAGAGAGAGAGCAAGAAGTTTTCGCGTTCCATGTACAGACATGTCGAGACAGAACCACATCACGGACATGGACGGCTGCGCACGCTGTGTTATTGTTGTCAGCGGGATTAGTGGAGAGGGAAAGTTCGAACTGAGAAACAGTAGTTCCTTCGCTGAAGGCTGAGAAAAGTAGGTCATTGGGTTTCACTGCTGCTTGTCAAGCGGAGCGGGCGCTCCGTGAATTGAATGGCATAGTAAGTAACTTTCTTCTGTGAGCCGGGCCACGGGCCGCTAGGAAAGCCCGCGCGGGCCGTATGTTGTGCGCCCCTGGTTTAGACGATTCTTCACGAATACCTTCGACTTTGAAAAGTTTAATCTCTCCGGGTATCCCACAATTTAACAGAAGCTCGAAAGCAGGCTCTGAATGGTGCTAGAAGGTGCCGCACATATTAGAAAGTAGAGACTCTTTGAGTGTGGCCGACATTGGGATATACGACTAAACCTGGATCTACCAGTGTAATCTTCAAACAAAGCGCCAGCCCTCTGTTTTCTTCGCCCCCCGCCCCCCGTTTTTTTTTTTTTTTTCTGGAAAGGTTCTAACTCTCAAGGAAACGAGATAAAAAAAAGTCTGAAAAATAAAATCGTGGCAACCTTTCCTAAATTAGTGGACGCATGGCCATAGTTGCTATGGAAAACCTAAGCCCTGTGACTGAACTACGCTACACCGCAGTTTGGCAGCTCTAAATCCTCGATAAAATCAAAGAGAGGTGACTAAGATCTGAATTGAGGGGAATCCTGTTGCATCACGACAGTTGCTTTCCCAACTTGACACTCAACTTCTTCGAAGACACTCCAGGTTAATTATTCACCCATTTACTCTAAAATCAGTATCTCGCACAAAGCGACTTTTTATTTTTCCTATACTTGATGTTTAAAAATAAAACTGCCAGTACAATTTTCAACCCCTGAAGATGCTGCCACAGCCTACCAAGATCACTTAAATGTACTGCATGATAGCCAGAGATGTCAGCCCTTGCGGGATTGGTTTAGAAGGATGGGTCGTGCTGTGCAGTGTCAGAGAGAATACTTAAAAAAATATGTATTAGAAAGAAAAACATCTTAGATCAATGACGAGCGTCTCAAGATTATTCTAGTGACCCTTGTACACACGATCAGCAAGGCTGACACATCGAAGCCGAAATGCCGATGTGACATTCCTCTATTAATGTCACTTTGACTGCTACGAATATGCTTATTTTGATACTGTGCTGCATGTTTATTTACGCAATGTTTCATCAATTCTCAATAGATTTCCGTTCAATCATTAAGTACCGATAAATGACGATTTTATTTTAGTGACGTTTTTCATATATATATAAAAAAAAGGTGTGCGAAAACGTTATGCTGGCTCACTGGGTCCCTGCCATTTTTTTTTTTTCATCACTAATTTTGTTTTGACTAATTTGGTAAAATAGCATAAATGGCGAAATCCATGCATTTATTTTGCAAAGTGCTAATAAAGTTACATGCTTTCATACTGCATCTGAAAGGCTCTTGGCAGTATCATCAACTTCTCGGCGACGACGACCAAAGAACAAAATACACCAATGAACAGCAGAGGCACGTTGACAGGTGTGGTTCGCTTTTTTATTGTAATCTTGGTCCACGCTTCTCTAGTGTGGATGTATACATAAACAGACAAAAAACACTGCTTGCTACCACTTCTGCGGGTTACTCTCTTATTGTAATACCATAAATGAGTGCCTTGTGTGTACGTGTTTCGCTTATTGCTCTGGGTTGTCCTCTCACATGCCGTTCACATATTCGTCGATTTCCCGGGGGGACAAAAAACGTCGGCCGTTCTTTTTGCCATGTCGTTCCGTAAACCTGTCTTTTAGCAGTTATTGTTTTTGTCAATTTGTTTTATGTGGAAAGATGTGTGGTTCAACAAAGATCGACCCCATCATGGTTGTGACTCTTGAGATGAACGGCACATAACAGGATGACTGACAAGATTATGGACCAGGAACGGGAGAGGATGCCAAAGAACGGAACTATACTGAGTGTCTGATGTTCGTGTCGCGATACACAATAGAATTAACAAAAAGAAGAAAAAAAAATTGGCGGTGGTCGGTTTTCAGAGTTGTCCGGCTGACTTTCGTAAAGGCCGCACGCCTGTTACGACTCTGACTGGTTATTAATGCACCTGTTTTTCCGAAATCTACTCCCACCTAGCGGCAGAGCCTTGCATGTGCTTCGGGGGGAACGGGGACAGGCTTAAAAGCAGACGACAGTCGTGTCGGTCGCTTTCCAAGCCGGCGCAAGAACGTTCCTCCGAAGTTCGTATGCCCGCTTCTAGGTGCCGTTTTCATACGGAAAAAGCCCCATTCTGAAGTTTTGGGGGAAAAGTTGGAAAGGGAGGGAGTAAAAAAAAAAGCATAAGGACGACCAAATGACTAGGCTATTTACAACGAAAGGTTGGATACGATGTTCGGCCCTATGATGGACCGCAAGAATGTCGCTGTGGTATGTGACACTCATGATATGTGTTGCCAGGAGAATACACAAATCGCCGGGTTCAGAATTGTACAGATATCGCCACGCTACTGAACTCACCACCAAAATAAAATTTGCATGTCTTTTTTTTTTTCAGAAATTATCATGCAATTTGAGCATGGAAAAGAATACATGACAGGAATTGCATCTAAAGACAGCAGGAAGGGTGTATGTTCTCTTTTAACTTCTTTATGATCATTAGAGTAAGGTCACACTTAATGGCGTGAATAAAAATCAGTTGCAGGAATGGGATGGTTTCACGCCACCCGATAAGAAAACACATGCTAATAAAAACATTTAAGAAAGCAAAAGCTACTACTTTCAAAAAGAAACCACAAAAAATCTCTCAGCGCAAGAAACGCATATAGACTTCACCGCAAAAGAAGCTGCCCAATGCAGCAGGCGTGGCAATTTCGAGTTGTTTTTTTTATTTGGACAGCAGCTGGTGTTGCAATACCAGTGGGAAAAAACTAGGCGTTTAGCCCACTGGCTTTCTAAAAAGGACATGTTGACTACACACCAGCAGCATGCGACACAGGAAAGACACACGCTATGTACACAGGAGCCCGTGTCATATCCTTTGCGAGGATCGGCTAGGAACGGTCCAAGAACGGGAGGCGAGGACATCTGGTGTCGGTTGGGTCAACTAAGCGGTCGTGCGTCAAACGAGATTAGCGATTGTATTCGCAGACTGATGGAGACAATCAATTAGGCTTGTTTAATTAACTTTGTTGGATCCTGTTCTTTAGGAGTTTGCATCTACAGAACATTTTTCATATGTTGGGGTTTGAAGACTCTCATACGTTGTTTAGTATTAGATGACCTCAGCTGCACGTTGAGCTAAGTTTTAATATATACTTCTTAAAATATTAAAAACGAAGGGAAATCTGAAGAGGTTTGAGCGAAAAAAGAAAATTTCCAACCGACACATTGCGAGGGAATCATTTTTGTGTTTCTTTATGCTTTGACAAAACACATTCGACCGGAACCACAACGAACTGTCTCCACGAAACACAGTACAGCGTAATAATGTTTTCGTATTCTTCTCTCTATGTTTATGTACATTTACATCGATGTGCACATTTTACAGTCGCGGAGGTAGGAAACAATGAATTGGCGCCCGGCGGAGTACGCACGTATGTCCACGAACCGCTACTACGTATTGCCGCTTTAAATCATCCCGACAAATCGTGCTTATGCGGTATACTCAAGGAGCTGAAAAGGACCTCAACTGTCTTTCATCTCCCCGCCACGCTGTCACGATTTGTATCCACACACAAAATAAATTGAAAACTATAAGAAAAACCGCAAGTATGCGCGTATTAAACTCCAACTCTAAATCAGAGTTTGTAACTTGTACGAAACATCGATACACTACGACGTTGTCTGATTGAAAATTACTCAGCGGTTGAGGGAACAGTAATTGGTTGAGGGGCGACGTAGTAGTACCAGGAATCTAAACTTACCAGGTTCTTACTGTGATACATTTCCTTGCATCCACTGTTTTTATGGGAACTCATTTTCTTCGAAACACTGTCCTATAACTATGTCAAACGAAATAATCAGAATGTATTTGCTTTTTACGTGAAGGATGGCATCCTTCACATGTCGGGCTCCTGCGTGTAACTAGCTACTTCATTGGGAGCGTGTTGCATATGAATTATAAGGATGCAATTGTTCTAAGGTTCGCCCAGTTTATATTAGCCAATGGGCTTGCATTTTCAAACGTTAAGCATTTTTTTTTATTTATTCAAAGGAATAGTAATTGTGAAGGTATGCAGTTTCCAGTATTACTATAATTAGTGGGGAGATAGTGCATACTCTTAAGTGTCAGTTACTTTCGATGTGTGTTGTAGCTTATTGATATGAGACCAAATATACAATTTTTAAATTAATAAGGCTTTTTTTTTTGCTTCTTACTAATAGGTGTATGTGAAGTCTAAAAGTGGATTCCGCTTGTAGTCGCTAATTGCTTAGGGAATGCAGGGCATGGTGGGTCCTGGGCATTTTATTAACATTCTGCAGCCAATCAGATTGTGGCCTTAGCTGATATGAACGTTGAGTAGCGAATCACAAAGAAAGAAGGTTAAACATTATAAGATGCACGCTGCATTTCTTAAATAATCAGTGAATATAGTTTTGGCAGAACTACATAAAGAACTACATGGAATAAATGAACTGGCACCAAGACTACCTGTGTCTCTTTATAAAAAAAAACACATAAAAATGCGATTTTTATTATCTAAATAAATTATTTAATTTCAATCGCACCTTTTTCCTATCAGTTTCGAGGGTCTAAAGTCAGTCATTGTAAGTGTTGAAAACCTACCTGAACCTGCATAATTTTGACTCTGTAGGGTGCTTTCCACCACTAAACATGAACTTCTTAAGTCGTGAGTCTGCAAACCAAAAGCAACCAAGGAAAACAGAGACCAAGAAACTCAGGATGAAAATACTGTATTGAAAACATTGTGGATATGTGACTTCAAGAAGCCTGAACATGTATGCGGCGGACTTAAGTACTTCAAGCGAGGAGTGATATGTGTGATAACGTGAACGGAACACTACATCCACACAGTTTCTGCATGACTTGACCTGTGTCGCTCTGCCCACGGAAGAAGAAAAAAAATGTTATCTCATGATTCTTGACAATGACACATCATAACCATACAACTTAACCAAACAAAGGGCCTGGTCACATTTTTCCTTTCACAGCATCGTAATTGTAAAGTAAAGCAAAAAAAAGTCACAATCACACGAAAAAAGATTGATATGATAACAGATGACTATGTCGAAGATAAGAATTAAAAGAATAATGCAAAACAAAAAGACCGCAAACTTGCACACATCAACCTTTCTGCCTCAAGTCAGGTGTCATAAATGTTTCTATGTACATTCGTCAATAAATACCTTGGAAACAATGTTTTTTTCCGTTTGTTTGTCAGTTTTTACTCTCTGGCTGTCTGCTCTGTTGTACAAACTAGTCTCTTTTTCGTAATATAATTATATTACTAAAATATATCCATGACAGTAGACAAACGATTCTAAAACGGAGAGCGATGACACAAAGTAAGCAATAACTATGATAAAAAGAAAAAAAGGAGCATGCTTTTCCTCCTGCTTTCTTTCTTTCCCAATATAGTTTATACTCAAAACTAGCACAAACAGTAAATTCACTGGTTTCCAACGTCAAGAAGTTACAAGGTGAGAAAATGAAACAATGGCGTTGTAGGGACGTCGCTGACTCATAAACAAACACAAGAAAATACAGAGCATAAAGGCACTGAACAGAGAGAAGAAAATGAGAAAAATCTAAAGTTATGTGTCAAGGTTTACATGCACAATAACAGCATAGATGGGAAGAAAAGAAATGGTAATTAAACTGCAACACAAAAAAGCAACGCAACAGCCACGTTGATAACAAAAAGCGTGCGAACAAATGTATTTCACAAAGAATTCAATGTCATTGTTCAGATTACAGATAACAGAACACGCCGAAATCAGGATGGAGTGAAATGCTACGAGGGAAACAAAGTCAGAGCAAACATAAAAAGAAAAGAAAAAGGTCAAGCCATTCGTGCGTCTCGTTTTTGTACATTTGCAAACAAACTAAAAAAATATGAAATTGCATTCTTTGAATAGAACTGCACAAAAAAGAAATAGACGCTGATTTTCAGATGACTGGGTGAACTTGAGGAGCCCACATCATGGCTCCCACCATACCAGGAATGAGTCAAAATAAAAAGACGCAGCAACAAACACCCTCGAAATATCTCTTAAACACAACCCCAAAGATTGGATGGATGGCTAGGAAACAGAAGCAGAACGACTTTCTACAAACTTGTCTCGCCCCCGGCATAAATTTCCAATTATTCCCACCCGCTGTAAACTCAGGTGGCGGTTCGTAGCCAACAAAGCGAAATTGATTAAAAAGCATACGATCCAGGTCAAGTACATCAGTTCGCTCTCTCAACTAATCCTTCTGAAGATTCTTTTGGCCGCAACCTTCAATCTTCTTGCTTCTAGTAAAAAGGTTTTGAACCTCGCCGCTGATCAAGTGTAATTAAAAATAAAAGAAAAGAAACAATACCGATGTCTTTTCCCAAACGTGTCGTGGAAGAACACGGTACGAGTTTCCTACCACGTATTTGCACGGCTACTGCCTAAACTGGGAGAGTGGTGGACTGCTGTCTCTAGAAGTGTTTACGGAAACTGCAAAAACTGACACTTTTTTTTTCATTTCTTTCCCACCTTCATGCACACAGTTGGGGGAAGTGGACACAGACAGAGGTTATACTAATAACCCTGCAACGTTTTTTTTTTTTTTCGTCTTACTAGTTGTCGATCGCGCATTTCTCGCGCTTCGTTTTCTGCTAATCTAGGAAGGTCGTTGCAAGTCGAACGATATGCACACAGGAACATGTTGCCGAGGCTCGTCTAGTAGCTAAGTCGTGTGTCGCGATCACACTCAACGTATGTACGAACAGCTGCTTTCCTTCTATACGTAATCCTTCTTCACATTGGGTAAAAGGGGGAAAGTGGTCTGCATGCATCTAGTTTTGCCGCTACCTCGAGCGCTTCATCGCCTGCTTGCTTTAAGAATGTCGTGCGAACTTGGAGGGCAGACTGGAGAGAACGGGAACGGATCGTCCCGTCGCCTTGGGCTCTTAGCGCCATGTCATCCACAATCACTTTTTACGTCTGGAACGCCACGGAGAGAACATCTTTCGAATCACTGTTCACAGTGTTTCTTTTTTTCTAGGGGAAGGGAGACAACCAGACAGACGCGTCAGGGTAGTATCTTTCCTCAGTCCTGAACCGTTACCCGTTCCCGCTGCGTGCCACCAGGAGTTTGCCTTTTGGGCAGCGTATCGAGGCGGCAGACAGGGTGCCGAGTTGGCTTAGGGAAAGAGGAATTTGATCTCCCATCATCTAGGAACAAATGCTCGGTCCTCCAAGGGAGGCAGTGTAAGAAAGACAAGGAAGAAAAGGGGGCAAACCAGAGGGCCACGAAGAGAGACACATATACACACGCATAGAAAAGAAATCTAAGAGACAATTGGCCCTCCCGTCTGCTTTCGTTTCACTCCCCCGTCCTTCCCGAATGTCCTTACTCCAGGACCGAGCCCGCCGTCTCGGCATGAACCGCCTGGAGACACGGCGGACGCATCTACCTCCGGTCCCGCCATCATTCATCCACTGAGGTAATTGTGTTTTGAGGTATGATGAAAAAAAAAAATACTGCCGGCGCTTTTGCCGACCGGCCGTGCTCGCTGCTCACTGTGGGCCGAAATGAAATTCGTGCCGCTGCGCCTTTCCTACAGAGGGGCGCCGCCGACGACCCAAGAAGTGGAGATCCTACGTTGAGTTGGAGACGGGTGTCTCGCACGGCGTCGTCGTCGACGACGACAGGGACAGGTCTTCGGCCTCTTCTTCGTCCTCGCGGTCGGCGCCGTCCTGGGGAATGGACTCGAGGCTGGGGCCCTCAGAGGGCCGTGGTTCCTCGCTGCCGTCCGCTTCCTCGACCATGGAGGCAGTGACCAGTTGGTCGGAGGTTTCCATCTGCTCCTCAAGGTCGCTGCTTGGCTCTTCCACTTCTGGTTCCTGCTTTATGTGGACGCCATTGCTGTGGAAATAAAAAGGACAAAAGGTGAGAAACTACTCCTGAAGAATTTCAACCAAGATTATGTAAACAAAAGCTGAAACACTTGTTGTTGTTTTTTTTTTGTTTTTTTTTATGAGACAGAGGTTGAATTTAACGTAGTCTTATCCCATGAATCTGAATATCCCGTTAGTTTTCCCCGAAGATGCAACTAAACGGAGAAAACACAGAAACCCTCCGACCAGTCGCTACGTCATAACAGGGTCTTTCGGCCGCCAAGAGCGTGTCGCTCGAGGGACACGCCTGCAATTGCAAGCTTGCCAGGTATATTGCTCGAGTGCACGTGCATAGCTTTGATAGGCGCTGAAGGTGCGTGAGAGCGGAGACTCCGAAAACTCCTTTTGGGGCGTCACGCTCCGGGAGGCAGGGCCTTTGGCGGTACTTTAAAAATGATTTTCTGCAGCCTCTATGTACCAAATTAAAAACTAATTTTGATATTCGAGATCCTGGAGGTCAAATGATGATGATTGAAGTGAGTTTCATCAAATACAAAACCGCTTCAGCTTCGCTTTAAGGTACAAAAAGGAGTACATTTCTGCAATGCTTCTTAGCTATTCTTATTCATTTGCTATTTTTATCAGCATCTTCAATTAAATCTCAAACAAGGCAACATTGGATCAAATCAGATATTTAGCCAGGTATGGGGCAAAGAAATGCTGTACAATTGAGAAAAGGGGACATGGCTTTTCTTGAAGACTTAGATAAAAATAGTAATACATAGGAAATACACTAATTTACAAAAGCCGTGATAAAGTAACCCAATGTTTAGAAACCTGCTTGGCTTCCTCTTCAGGGGTGACTGAATGGCACGGGGCAGCAGCATGCGAAGAACGCTTCTTTTACAAGCATAATTCTTTAAGAAAGTAGACTAAAATCCGGGACCATTTTTCACAGTTTTAATGTTACTACTCAAGCATTAGGACAAATATTTATTTTTAACAAAAAACCCGCAGGACTCTGCAAAGTATAAATAGACGCTACTACAATTTTGTAATAGAAATAAATCGACTTTTTATATATTGTCGCATTCATGTACACTAGTAACTTGGAAGAGGTGATCAGAACCACAATAAAGCTACACCATGTTTTTAATGTGTCTTTCTTACTACGATGAAGAGATGCCTTATAACTGTTCACCCCTCAGCGTTGCCAGTCCGACTGCGGCGGAGCCGCTTGTACAAAATCCTTCCTGTCCTTATGTCCGCAAAATGAAAGATATGTGCTTCTTTGCTGGAAACACTGAGAGCTTTTATTTAAAACGTGCAAAGCTTAGTGGAGCATTCTACCACCGGACCCCCGTGGCTAAACGCAGGTTTATTATGTGAAATCATATCGGTGGTTGCATGTACATAAACGGTATCGGTTGACACACAAATCGCTTGAACTGTCCTAATAGAATTACCCTGACAGCACACATGGTTCTGCCTGCAGACACCCCCAGGGTATTCTAATGTTTTATGGACATCCCGTAGAAACACATAAACCCCTGTGCCGCCTGGGCAGCAGCGAGCGTGTATAGGAGGGTAGAGCAAGATGGCGCCTCACCTGGGGAGCCTCTCCCCCGGGAAGCCCTGGCCGAGCATGCCGGCGACGAACCGCTCTGCGGCGTTGTCCGCCCCCGCAACGGGGGGCAGCACGAGGGCGCCGCTGAGGGGTCCGTTGCCGACGCTCGACGGCCGGGGTCCGGGCATGACGTTGGGCACACCCGCAATGGACGCCGCCGTGCTCACCGCTGTCCCAGAAATTGCTGCACTGAGGAATGACAGGTTGCTCTCGGCCAGCGCTGCCTGCGAGGGATGAGGGAGATCCTGGTCAGTGGGGTGAGTCGGTTCGCTGGAGGGGTGTGCGGAGAGTGATCCGTACCACTGCTGGCATCGACAGTGTTGAGGAAAGCACACTGCGTCGCACACCGTGGTCACATACATGGCCCCAATTGGGACGTCCTCTCGAATGTCCTAAGGTGCCATGAATGTTTCATGGACATTCAGAGGGCCATCTGGGGTGCTAGACTCGTCAAACACAAAGTTGGAGCCAAAAGTTCGCGGAGGGCGCCGATTGTACTTATGTGACAAAATTGCTGCGTCATCGTCTCGAAACTCCATTCAGTGGGCTCGATGAACTTCGGCCCCGGTTATCTGCCTGACGAGTCGAGGGCCCCAGGTTTCCATAGAAGTTCGTGCGAACACTTCGCTGACGCTTTCTGTTCTACTCGAACAGGTGACCGGTGAACAAATTCTGGTGCTTATGCTGTGTCTGAGTACATGACAGTCTGTGTCTGAGTACACGACAGCCTCTCGGTTGAGAAAGAAATATCGAAAGAACCAATCATTGCGGGTTCGATCTATGTCGGACTTTGTGCGAAGGGATATAGTTTTTGCCATTCTGCAATTACGTTGGATGCTTTCACGCATCGTAACGGTGTTACAATCTGTGCAAATTTATGAAGACTTAGCAACAATATGGTGGCCAGAATGACAAGGGTGAATAGATCCCACATGGTCTACCTTTGCATAAAACAGGGTATCAGTGGCGAAATGCTATTCTTATGGTTAGAGAGAGCCAGAATGAAGGCAAATCTAGCACCATCCTTGGCAAAATGCGATACACTAAAAGAGTACTCCTTTTGTACTTGAATAATAATACACCTCAAAAGGTATTCTACAGTGTGTATTTTTAATGCGAAAGCATTAACTGTCCATAGAGCAGAGCCGGCGGTGCCAGTAACCGCGCAAAACATGCAAGAAATTCCCAGGAGCCGGCGTCGCCTGTAACCGATGTAGTAACCATGGAGAGACGCGAAAGGAACTTCCAGCAAAACAGCTCCTATATAGCCATAGGCCGGGACGCGTATGGTTCCAAGGAACGCCACCCCACAGAGAAGCCCTCTTCCTGGCGCTGCGGCCCGCACGCCAGGAAGGAGCGCGCTCGGCGGTCGCTCTCGTGTCAGTCGACGCCGGAAGGCTGGGGGCTGCGGTTGCTTCTGCTCCTCGCGGCGCCTGGGGCATCTATATCCTCGGCGGCCACAATCTCGGCAGTAGCGAAACGTGGCCGTCTATGCTAGTGCACCACAGACGAACTAAGGGAGCGGTACGACATTGATGCTTTCGCATTCACAACTCATAAGAAGTGCTTCGGTGTCCTCGGAATTTACTGTATTACTTGTACATAATAAATACACTTTTAGCACATGCACCTTAATTATGACCGGGTCGACGCGCGTAGCGTACCCTAAAAGTATAAAATATACAGCACATATGCTTAGAAGATGAGCACGTTGGTGGGATTATAAGTTACTGAAATAATAAACACAGGTCCCTCCCCTATTTATTCTGTCAGTAACATCTTATAAAGGTATATTAAGGGCAACCTTCAGAGTGCACCAAACATATACTTGAAAAGTATTTTTTTTATTTCGGTATCAAAATTAGTACAATCTTATTGTATCATCTTTTGCCAAGGGTAGCTGTAAACCTAGTAGTTAAAAAAGGTGGCTAGTGTAATATAAATATTTTTACAGATTAAGAAACATTAGCTCCCATGAGAGAAGTTACTTAACATGCAAAGCCTTGAACTTACTTGCAGTGAAGCGTTAAGGGACTCCCCGTAAAGACCAGGGTTTTGTTGGAGCGTCGGACTACGGACCGATCTCTGTCCTACTTGCTGGGAAGGCACTGGTAGGCCCCTATAGGATACAGAGTCAAAAAGTGGATCAGAACATGAGGCCCCAACCGTGACACCAGTGAACTTCAGATAGTGCGTCAAAACGTTCTGGCACCCGAGCTGCTGCAACTCACTGCAAATCACTGATGTCTTACAGTGATGGTGAGTGCTCAGATTTCAGTTATTTATCAGAAAGTATATGTATTTGATCCTAAGTATACAGGCTTCAATTTTTTACTAAGTATCATTAAACAGGCTGCCTATTTCCCTCACTACGTTGTGACCAGAACGTTATGACTTTCACATTCATTGTTTGAATTGAAAATGCTACATATTAAAATAGCATGCACACAAAATCATGCATTATTAGCTGGCTTTCATGCACTACAAGTTAGCAGCGTTCTATGTATCATAATGCAATACCATGAAAAACTGAATGTCTTTCATTCAAAATAAAGGGTAATGATGGGTGACTCAGCAAGTTACTGCATGGGTCAGCAATGACCAAAAGCTGTTTGCAAATGCCTAAATGCAAAACTTCCAATATTCAAATTTCTTTTATATTGTCTGGAAGTTTTTCTTTTAATTGCATACAATTTTCTTGTAAAGGCTCTTTCAAATTGGAACAATGCAAACAGCATAAGGTTTTTAATTCTATCTATGCTGTTCAAAACTACAGTTTTAAGATCTTGGCAGTAAACTACTTCTAGCACGTTCTATATCTACACTGAATCTACACTCAGTGCTACAGTACCACTTCTGTAGGCAAGCCATTTAAAAACGATAGAATTTCTAGCACATGCCGGCCAACACAATTTGTTCATTAGCATCATCTGGAATGCGCTAGGAATTCTTCCATTTCAAAGGCTTCTACACTGAACCAAATGCGTATATAACAAATCAGGACACAAACCACATCAGTGACTACTCAAGACCACCAAAAACCAAGAATTGGAAGTGAGCAGCAAACATTAATAAACAATTCAGGAGCAAAGGGCAGGGTCACAGAATGCAGTTACTGCAAAAGCGTGCTTGATGAAGGGCATGCAAGCAGAGGTGGGCCCATTCTCTCGACGAATCTTACTTCAGAGGGCCCTCCCCTAGACTTGTTTCTATGGTCCTATTCCCGTGAACTATTGCTCACTTGCATTGTCAAAGGAACAGTTACACTTTTCTTTTAATCAAGGAATATTTTTTTAGTCTCAAGGCAGACAGAATACATCGAGTTACGGTATCCAATAGGGGGAACTGCATTAGTGGAAGCGAACACGATTTCACTAAATTATTTTTTTCACAAAGTGTTAATAACTGCTTTGTAAGGGGTTATTGATTGGAATTTTACGAAAGACTACGGCCCTTGAAAGAAATAACCAATAGAGTGCTTGCAGAACACTAAACTTCATCTCAGGTTGAATGTTCACATTTATTACGAAAGTTTCAGCAGCAGGGGAAGTACTAATGGCAGAGATCTGTCCTTTGAGAGTGCAAGGCCTCATCTACCTAGATCCTCTACGAGATCGACATCCTTCATCTCGCTTCTGACCTCTCTAACAGCAAGCCTCTAACAAGGTCAGTCTGCGAATTTTGGCAGCAAGCGAAATAGGGATACCAAAGATCTGTCCTTCGAGAGTGCAAGATCTCATCTACTTAGATCCTCTACGAGACCGACGTCCTACATTTCGCCCCTGACCTCTCTAATAGCAGGCCTTTAACGAGGTCAGTTCTGCGAAGACGTCAGCTCAAGCGTTCTCCGTTCCGGCTTACTCGGCCAATTGGGACGGCAGATTCTGGAAGTCGGCGAATTTTCGGGGGCGGCCCCTGCTCAGGTGGCGGCGCTTAACAAACTCGCGATCGTCCACCATCCAGAACGATCCATAGTCGTCCTCGTAACGAACAAAGCACTTATGCAGCGACAGATTGGTGCGGATAGCATTCTGTATCGTCGGCGACAGGGAGATTAAAGGGGGTTCGGGAAGCGAGAAACAAAAAAGGTAGGCAAATCAAAGTATGAAACAAAAAAAAGCGCAAAGCCGTAAGAGAAAAACAAAAATCGAGGCGATGATGAGTGACATTGAAGTGGAAATGCAACCAAATCGTAACGGCGGTTTTAGGTAGTCACCAATGGGTTTGTAGTTTTGGAATGAAACGTAAAAACAATGGACAGAAGCGGACATGCAAGACGACACATTTTTTTAGCCGGAGAAGGGAGCGAGTTGTGTCGTGGCGAAAGAGTTTAGAAGAAGCAAACAAAATGAGGAGAGCAGATTTAAACGGTTAGAAAATGAGTATTGAAGATGTATGAAATGAGTGTTGGAGAGATGAACAACATGAAATGGTAAATATGACAAAAGTTTGGATCAAAAAGGAATGGGAAAAGAAGAAAAAAGTAAAAAAGGGACATAAACATAATAGAAAAGATGTTTAAGGAGGAAGGAGGAGAAAGGAAACAAGGGAGAAATATTTGTTAGAAAGGCAGTCGCAGTCGAAGAAAACATAGCAAAGCACAAGAAAATAGAGAGGAGCACAAGAAAACATAGCGAAGCGAAAGCACAGCTTCACTGCGGGAGAGGCACATCTCAGACGTAGATTTACCCTGCTATCCGATCCTGGAGTCGCTGGGGCCTACGCTTGTAGAATTCTATTTCGTCCACAGTCCACACAGCCCCTTTAACGTTCTCAACACGCATAAAACATTTGTGTAGGCTTAGGTTGTGTCTCACCGCATTCTACATAAGAGAGAGAGATAAAAACACATATGCAAGGATTTAGAATGGTCAAGAAACTGGTTGGATTCAGCAGCTGTAGTTCTATGCTTTGCCTGAAACAATGGGGTTAGGTACAGCATGATCAGTCCTTCTGTTTGGCTGGAAAGACATAGCTTCCATCCAAGTTGACTTGATGTAAAGTTAAATACTTCTACTGGAAAATAGCACATTTTCTACAAGATGCACAAGGGCTTCTAATCAGTGGCATAGCCAGGAAGGAAACCCCCCCCCCCCCCCCCACAAAAAAAAAAAAAAAATCCAGCCGTCCTTATGATAGGCACACGTATTTTGACCCCCCCACCCGTCGCACCCCTAGGCATGGACACCCCAGTTACCTCAGTCCCCCCCCTCCCCTCCTCTCCCCCCCCCCCCAAAAAAAAAATCCTGGCTATGCCATTGTTTTTAATGTAATTTCACCAATTGAGCAGTCTAATGCTTCAAATATAAACTATTTCATATATAATTAAAATCTCAAAAAGGAGGAATGCAATGGTACAATACCTATGCAAGAAAACATTTCCAAGCACTTTAAAAATGCTAATACTTCAGTACAAGCTTCAAAATCTAACATACCTGATAAAAAATAATGTAAAGTTTCTTTAATAATCCATAAAAACTGGCAGTTTTGAAAGCCATAATAAAAAAATGAGTCCAGAAAATGGCTATGCTGTATTGCATGCTATTTAAGTTATGCCACAATCTGCTAAAGAGTAAGCTAGATGTCCCTTCCAATTCAGTGAACAAATCCTACTTTTAGAAATTCAACTGAACCTGTTTCTTGGCCTCACTCAGTGTTCATGACCCGTGCTACAAATTAGAGATACTAAGATCGTTGGCAGGAGAAGAATTGAAGTTCACCTTCCAAGTTGCAGCATTCCTACGGAAGTAGCAGAAGGTATTCTGGAACCAGTTGTAGATCTCATTCAGCGTTAACTGCTTATCAGGAGATTCAATTATGGCCTGGAAGACAAAATGCATGATGTATAAAGATCTGCCCAAAGCAACCTAGACATTATTCAGCATTTGTTCAAGCACAGACACACAAAAAGCACCGTTGTGTTCATAGGTAGCTACATCCTTTCAACCTTTTTCTTTTTCTTAGGTGGTGCTTTGTTTCCACTTTGTTGTTCCAAGGACCGTGGAAATTAGCCCCATCTCTAGCACTATTTCATGTGAACCTCTTTTTTGTCACTTATACAAACCCTGCGCATTCATCAACTTTTGAGTAAATACAGAAAGGACATATCTCTTTGAGTATGATTACTATGGTCTAGCAAATGTGGACCTGACTAAGTATCTTTTTAGACAATTAGATGCCTAAGGCACAAGGGTAGAAGAAAGAAAATGGCTATACATATAACACACAAAACCATGCCATGAAGTGGCTCTTACCTGCCGAATGAGAGAGGCGTATGTGAAGGGAGGCCGAACGTCCGCAGACTTGTAAAACTCTCGATTTCGCTGGATCTCTGTAAAACCATGACAAAAAAAAAACAAAAAAACAAGGGTCAATCGGGATGCAAAACACACACGAAAACAAGAAGTGATGTTCAAGGTATACATGAACTAGTTTTAATTGAGTTTTATCGGTACCCAAGTCTTACCTTCTGTGATATCCAAGTTAGCTCTCTCCGCAACCCTACGCCGAATAGGAGAGTCGGGTAATGATGCAACTTCCATGCCTAAAAAAGGGAAAAAAACAAATTTCTGTAAGAATATGGAAGATATTAAAAAAAAACTGAAAAAAGGTAGTCTCATTAACCCTGGTAAGGAACATCTAGCAGACAACCAAGCAATAGCATTAACACGTAACAGTTGCACGTCCCTATGTCTGTTAAAAACTTTCATGAATAGTTCTCTTTCTGCAAAAACTTTAGAATCCGGTGAAGCTCATGCAATTGGTAAAAACTTGGAGTGCAAGTACCCCGCTTTACTGCTTTTTTTTTTTTTCTTGCGAGACAGCAGTGCGCGCAAAAACGCGATACATTCCGGAGGCCTGTTTTTCCTGCAATACTTCCAGGCAAGTGGGGAAGCTATTCTTTCAGGTAGTGAAGCACGAGTTCAGACGAACGCGAGGCTCTGGCGTCACTCCAATGCAGCGCCGCTGCTGTTGACACGACGCATGCAGACGTTTCACTTGATGCAAACATGGTTGTGCACATTTTACAGAGCTTATACCTGGTATGGTCAAATGCAGGCCTGTTTGTAAGCAGTGTTTTGGCACATAAACAATCATTTGCAGTTCAAGAATAGAAGGGGTGGTTCAACAATTTTTGTACTTTGCGCGAATACAGCTTAGAACGAATCCCTGACGTTTATGACCAATAAAACACGCGTTCGTTTTTCTGCCTATGCATTAAAAGTCGGAAAAAACATTAAAGAAAAACGAGCAGCGTTCACTCCCTCAGCAGTCAGAACAAGCGGCCACGTGAGCTGAAGCCAATTATATACCGCCAATGTTGATCATAGACACGCGCCGAGATTGGCAAAGCACAGGACAAGCGCTGAGTTCCAGACATTGTTAGGGTTCGGCTACTGTCGTCATTGCAGCGATAGGACCTGAATGCTTGTCAAGCTATTGGTTATCACGAGCCCAAATCGAGTGCTAACGCAATGCCCGGGTCCAGGCTTTGAGCCGCACTGAAATACCGTCACGGGGGGATAGTGCGATCCCCACGCTACGTCGTCAAGTTTTGCGAGAGAGAAATGGAAAGAAACTCCTCACTTTCACTCTTGAAATTACACCTCACCAAAGAGGTTCCTTGGTCAATGGGGTTGTGTGCGAGTATTCATGGGTGCCACTAGTGCCGCCAAACTCGAGTAAAGTGAACAAACATTCCAACTGAATATCACTGCACCATCCCTTTAAGAACCCAGAAGATGCACAACCTACAGCGGAAACTTTTTGCCTTTGATAACACTTCATCGCACGTACAACCAAAACCCGGCGGAAGCCAACGAGCGCATGCTGAAGGCAGAGAATATACTGGGTTGCTAACCTGCCGACGACTATGGTGTGTAAAACGATGGATACTACTCCAGCAAAAAGAAAAAGAGTAAAGGCAGGCACACACCCGACAATGGAGATACGCCCTTGTCGCTCAGCCTCCGCCGGATGGGGCCCGCGCTGGTAGCCTGGGTGGACGAAGGAAGCCCCAGCAACCTGCTGGTCATGAGCGGGCTGGCCGCCGTGGTCATGGTCAGCGGTGGAGGGCTGATGGACATCACCGGCAGCGCCTGAGGAGAGGACGTCGCTGGCTTGTGGGTCGACGACAGCAACTGCAAGCAGACGGGAATTGGCACCTGTCAGCAGCGCTCTACGAATGATGTGCGATATCGTTCCACAATAATGTCAATACTCAGCGTACAAGGAACCAATGAGGTTGAAAAGCTTTTTCCTCTCTACTGACAGCATCATATATAAATTATTCAGTTCAAAGTCTAATTTATATCACCAGCATCCAATATGTACTTTTCCGTGTAAATTTGTGCTATCTTTTAAAATCAATTCCTTTCCCCTTGTTTGGAAGTGAAGACGTTGTAGTGACGGTGGTCTCGGTTCTCATATCTCGTTAACATTGCTTCCTTTTCAGTTCTTTACATGTGTTGGCATTTCACTCCTCAAGGTATTTCCACAGTAATCTGTCACGACATCATCAACCAATAGAATTAAAGAGTGACTCGATTTTACTCGTTTACCACTACACAGAAACCATGTAAGGTAGCCCAATACAAAAGAGGTATTATGACTAGGAACCATGTTGAATTAACCCGAGACTGGGGTAGAGAAGAAACATCAAAACGTAGAAAGGACAGAAAATAGACATGACGACGTCTCAAACTCAGACGTTTTGATGTTTCTTCTCTACCCCAGTCTCGGGTTAATTTAACATGGTTAATATTCACCAGCTCGCCTATTTCTATGATTAGAAAATTCATAAAGTATATGCTACTTTTGGCCTGAGTTCCCTCAGGTGAAATATTACTTACCTTATGGCTTCCATAAGGCAAGAATGAATAATGTTGTCACACGCTAACCTTGGGATAGCCTAGAACGATGTGTTCTTGTCCACTCACCAGATCCTTGCCACTAGATCCCGAGGAGCTCCCGTTGGGTGGCTTCATGTGGAGGTGGGCCATCATGGACTGCAGCCGGTCACGCTCTTTGTCCAGCTGAAGCTCCAACTGAGACACCACCTGCATCTGGACCCTGGCTTGCGCTGTGCTTCGATCATCCAGCTGGTGTTCCATGTTCAAGTGTCTGCAAGCGAAGAGAAGACACATGTTTTGACTCCGATCATAAGTTAGGCAGCCCTTTAAGAAGCCACTCCCTAGGGCACCAAAGAGGCATAAGTTAGGCAACCCTTTAAGGGGCTGTTTACTGGGACACATCTCGGCCAACGGAAAGCTCTCCCTTTTAGAGAGAAGTTCATTAAAACGTTTATTTCACCGCGTTCTTCGTCAGCACAGCTAAAACTCTCTTGTTGAATGTGTTGGTTTTGACATTACCTTAACTTCAAAACGATGACACCGCCACAGTCGCGATGTCGCTACCAACTGACTAGACTCTGGGAGAACCTTTGTAAAACGAATGGATGGAGGCTGCTATGATATACCCAAGTCAAAGTCTCATACTCTTGATAAGATTACATGATTATCGTGCCAACAACGTGCCTCCACACAATGGTACGCGGGCTGCGCCACACGTGCCAGGCCTTACAGTTTAGCGCCGACTCGCTCGCGTCAAGCTTCGCACCGGCGCACGCATCACTTCGCACCGGAGTGCAATGAGCAGCGGCCGACATGAAGCGACCATTCAGGCTACCTCAATGGGTGGGAAATTTTGTCCCACTCCTGTAGGTCGACATTCTTTGGAAGCGTTTATAAACCGGCTCCTGATTTTAAAGAAAGGGGACTCACTTTACAAAGGCCTGGTAATCTTCACACTCGGCGTCGCATCCTGGCCACTTGCAGACGCCGTGGCCGTACAGCGAGTGGCTGCTACTGGCACTGGAAGACCTCTCCTCCTTCCCCAACTGCTGGAACGTGGACGGCGAAGAAGACGCGGAACCCGCAAAGTCGCCGTGGCAGGGCATCGAGCCGTGCTGCTGTTGCTGTTGTTGTTGCTGCTGCTGCTGCTGCTGCTGATGCTGCTGCTGCTGCTGTTGCTGCTGCTGCTGCTGCTGATGTTGCTGGCTGGACAGGCCTTGCAGAGCGCTCTGCAGCACGGTGCTGCCGTTAACCGCGCGCGAGGACGAAGACGAACACGGGGGCAGTACCCCGGCGGTCAGGGTGGGCGGCTGGCCGCTGGCCGAGCTCAGGAGTCCGTTGAGACCCTTGAGGGGCCCGCCGCCATCTTCCAGGGCGGACGTGACGCCGTCCTTCCAGAGGCCCTGGAGGTCCGCGTTCAGGGCTGCAAGACGAATGGACACTCGCGTTAAGAACCAGGGGCGTAGGTGGCACTAGGAACATAAAAAGGACAGGGCGTCTTTTTGGGGTGCCCGGCCTTCAGCAAGCGCTTGTTGCCTTCCGCTGTGCTTTGAAGGCAGGCGCGTGGAATACTCTAAGCTCATTAGACGCTGAAGGGTTATCAAAGGTGAGAAGCTCGAGCTGGAGGAGGAACAATTGAAATACCTCTCTGCCGTTGTTATGCTCTCAGTGAACACAACATACTAGCTCACGGCGAGTACCAGTTCGAACCACACTTCACCTAAACGTAGCGGTGCCCCTGCATGGTACAACAAACCTAACGGGCAACTTGGTTCGAGAAACTTTTATGTGCTTTTATATACCTAGGTATCGTAAAGAGAACACAAAGCTGGCGCAAATTTTCTGGCTTTAAATATTTCACTGTGCAAAAGAGCTATCTCAGAGAGCATGAATGATATATCTGACAACATATATCAGTAAAAATACCTTTGAAGACATTTTTGCGCGATTAGTATCGAATTGTGTTCAGCAGTTGCCCAAGACATCATTTCCGTACACTTTTCGAAACAGATAATTTGGCTGTTTGTTTAGCTCCAGCATGTCCCTACCACAGCAGTTGACTTGGAATAACTATTATTAGGAACTTTAAAACGAGTGTCACAACTATATCATCTGAAGAAAAAAAAGTGCCAATCACTAGGCCCTCTTTTTTTTGCGACTAATGCTTTGTCGATCCCCTACGCGCACTACGTGTAGTGTTTCGATAAAACGTCAGTCCAAGTTTCCAGAAACACGTGTATAGGAGCGTGCCTACTTCGTCATAAAAAAACACACACACTGGGCCTTCTGAACATCGATTCAACTTGTTTCCATTCTCTTTCAACACATGCGTGGTCATATACCGTGGTCTCAGATAAAAACACTAGCGCTCGTAGTAGAGTGTAGAGAATAGTCGGTTGGTTCGCTCTCTTCATTCGCGGATGGCAACAGTGAACAATAGATGCCGCCAACTGGCTAACAGACAACGTACGATCAAATAAAATACAAAACAAAACTATAAAAAAAACGCACGTCGCGCGGACGTCAACGCGAGACGCTTGTGTCGACATCGGCGTGCCGACACACAACGCGTTTCGTCGTCGTCGCCTTGCTATGCTCCGTTCGATCCCAAGTCGACAGTGCGTGGGAGGCCGCGTGCTCGTTGAACCAGTCGCAGGTGTACCTTTCGCCGCGTGCTGACGCTACCGCCCATAACCCACACGCAGAGAGCGAAATCACGTGATAAAGGGGAGGCTGTTGATTGGACCGGCGAACGCGTAGCCCCCAAAGCACTGTCAGTTTAGGCGGGAACGAAGCATAGTCGCGCGCGAGTGATCGCCGCCAAAAGAATCCTATACGCGATACGACGCGCCGCGTTCCATTGTCTGGTCGCACGGGGTAAAAAAATAGAAAAGCTTAGAGTCCACTTGCGCACGCAACTCCACTGCGGAGGCACTCCCAAAAAAACCTATTCCTAACGGGTCCTTTTTTTTCGAACCGTCTCTACCGTACAAGAGAGTACGGACCGTTGACGACGACGGCGGCGGCGACGACGCGACAGCAACGTATTGTGTGTACGTGATTGGCAGCGATTGCGGCTAACCGCCCCGCTGACGGGAGGGACAGACGACGACGACGGCGACGTCGGAGAGCTGGATTGCCGCGCCCTTGATTTGGGTGTGGTTCCGGCCCCGCGCTCGGTTCCCCAAACCCTTCGGGGATAGGTTTACGCGGTCGCCAAAGGAAAGGGACGACGCCATTTTGAAGCTGCGAGCTCGCAAAGACGGACGTATGGACAAAAAAAAAAAAAAATGGAATCGGTTCGAGAGAGGGTAAAAGAATCGGAAGGACGGAGCGCAAAGATTACAAAAACAATATACGAATTAAAGAAAAAAAAGGGGGGGGGGGGGGGGGGAAGGCAGATGTATTTTGGTCGAAGCCACGAACAAATCGCCAGAATCACATACACGCGTTTGCGTGCACGCCTAGGCGGGAGACATCGGACGATAGCCTACCCGCGCACGTAAGGCCGACGGGGAAAAAACGAAAAGTGAAACTGATGCATTCCGAAACGAACCGTATACGTAGTATACTGGTAATGTAGTACGCTTTCGATAAAGGGGGGGGGGGGGGGGGGGGGGGGTTCCTTTCCTTCCATTTCAGAAAAGAAATGACCCGATTTTTTCTCCGTCGTAGTTTTTTGGTAGGGCGAGGGTCGACCACAAGACCGAAAGGAGGTATACAGATGCAGTACTCCGCGTCACTTTCCGATGGACCGCGACGGGCGCTACGAGCCTCCCAGCCAATCCAGCACACTGAACTTATCACGTGACTCCCGAGAGTCGCAGCCGCGCCCCCCCTCCCCTTTTCTCGTTTCCCTCTCCCCAACGTCACGTGACAGTGACACCCACACGGCAGCGGATCGGCTCCGATGGCTCGTAGCCTTCACTGCGGTTCATCGTGAGGTGAGACGGAGTAGGGAGAGTTGCTTGGGCTTGTCCGCTCGCTTTTTAAACGTGTGCGTGCTTCTTGTTACCGTTATATCTTTTCTTCCTTATCTTTCTGCTCGTGTCTATAGTTTGCCTGGAGCTGATGTCATTTGCGGCGTTTTGCGCGTCGTTCGATGGTCTCTATGCGCGATGGGCGGCGCTGCTTTGGTTCTTTTTTTTTCTTTTTTTTAATGCTTGCCTAAACGAGGACCACGGAAGAAAGATAAATAGAAAATAAAAAGAGAAAGAAAATAAAAACAGAAAATAAAGGTAAGGGATTGCGTCGTCGTGTAATGATGAATCGAAACGGCCACCCCATCGAATGGATTTCGGAGTCATGAATGCGAAGGGGAGAGGTAGGAAGAGGCGGAAGAAGCGAAACCTGGCAGAGATAGCGAGCGACCCACCCAAATGAAGTCGCGTCGGCGTTTCGCCCGAGCAGCGAACCTTACCGCCGAGAAGAGGGCAATAAGCTTTCCTCGCGGAGCGCCTATTACGTTCTTTAATTTGTATAGTTAGGAAACGGCACAGGCTACTTCTAGGTATGTGAGTGTGACATCTTGAGGAATAATGATGAAACAACAAGCCAGGCATTTACAATAGTTTGAGTCAAACTTACAATATTGAGAAACTCACAAAGCAGAATTTCAAAGGGCCGGGGGGTGGGGGGGGTGGTGGTGTTTTAGCTTCGATAAATGTGCGCGGTTGGTGCTCCATCGTTGGGCGAGGGCATATTCGTGATGGAAGTGGAATCACAACCGCTAGTCTGATCTAACGAGTAGCTAACGAGTAGCGCACGAGAGGGAATCTTGCATCAACCACGACCATAAACAGTTAACTTGGCATCCTCGAATTTTCATACGAGGAAGCTGCCGAGAAAAGAGAACCGTGTTCTTCGGCCCGAGTTATTATACTATTCATCACAGAAAGCTCAAACTCCGGGACATTGTGACGCTAGCGTTTTGCATAGAGAGCGCAAGGTTGAGAGCATGAGGTTGCCTGGATAAAAAAAAAAATAGTTGAGAAAAACGCAATTCCTCTATGAGCCGACGCCCAACTAAGCCTAATATTGTCAAAACGAGAAATGACATTGTAGGCGCCCCTAGCATCTCTTTCAGGTAAAAACAAATAAAACAAAAAACTTGTGAGCAAAAAAGAAAACACTATTCTCTTCCTTGCTGACAACGGTTTTTCACTTATATAAATCCCACAAGCATCCACAATTTCAGTTATTGTTTCGACGATATCAGACGTCGGATCACTACGCCTAGAGTATCGAAACTCCATCACTCGATTATTTTGCGGGCACCGCCATTTCGATGCTCAGTGCAGAGCGTTACGTTTCGGAAATGCGACACCCTGAGCTTTTGATACCGTGTCAGGAAGCTGAAGCGATGTCCTTTAGCTCTATCGTGAACTGTTTTACCGCTTCTGAAGGACGAAAAACCGTCTCCTGAGATTTCAGATAAAAGCCGAGGATCCACTGGCAACCATGATCAAAAGCACCAAGATGGTCGAGGTGTCCTTACTGCGAAACGTCGCTCAAAATTTTAGTTCTTGGCGAGACTATCCAGCAGCGATCTTTCGTCCGCTGCCTTCTTTCAATTACCGAGTTAGTACGGCGGTTTACGATGGATAGAGCGCCTTATTTAGTGTGCTCCACCTCAAGTGCGTGCTCGGTGTCTTCAGCAGAATCTTTAGATATAACGTGCTGCTTCCAAAAGTGTTTTCCGAGGCTTGATCGCAACACTAAAAAGGCCACGAAATGCATTTTTTTTTTTTTTTTTGCTTGGACAAATAAATGTAGATTGCAATCTTACTAAATCGCACATCGTTTAGCGGGTCAAACCAAAGAGGGCAGATAGCCAAACGCCTGCTTTTCGGTATGAAAGGTTCCTAAATGTATCGAACTATTTCGTACATATTTTCCTTCAAAATGCTTTCTGCCTTTTTTTACTGCGATACATCCGCAGTACCATAGCCTCCTCTATACAGACAAAGCCCGGCGAATCGCCAACAGACGCGGCCACCGAAATGGGAAAGGCGGTGTGAAACAGTCAACGGATGATAGGAGAGAGCCATGGGACTGGCGCCCCGCTGCAGCGAGACGCGAGGACACGAAAATGTGTTTCGGGTCGCCGCCACTGCAAAACCTGTGCGCTGACGTCTAGGTTTCCCCAAGAAATGGCTTTTTGATGCTCTGTGCTACCAGATCCTCGTGCTCCAAATCTGCGACCGGGTACTCTATGGCTCCGCCGTCGCGGTACCCAAAAGACGTCAGTCTACCCCAGCTCACGCATTGAACACGAGCATTGCGGCATCACTCGGACATATGCATTTGAATTCGCGTTCGCGGCCAGTGAGTTCCGTGGCGGCCACTTATCATCGCTTGCGAATGACAAGTTCCGAGGCGTTCTTAAAATGGACGGCGGAAGCTCCGACTCATTCGTAACGGTGCCCGAGCACGTCACGACAGCGTGCTTTCTCATTTCGCTTTTGAGTTGACGAGGAAAGCCAAGGCGGACACACCATATAAAAGACAAGAAGTTTCACCGCAGACATGAGGACAGAATTATCTGCGGAGATGTTTGCAGAGAGTTTAGCATGACCAATGTGACGGTCAGGTAAAGAAAGAAACACACTTGTGACTGTCTTTTGTGTGATGCCTTTGTAGTGTGCCCGCGGCTTAAGCCATACCCTGTAGCTTTGATAGGGACTATGGTATCATATAAGTACTTCGAACGCTGTCGGTTCCTTGCCATGTCCTGCGAATGAAACTGCGGCGACTGCCAAGGCAGACCACGCTCTGCTGGACACGTGACGTCACAGTGTTGTCACGTGGCGGTTCCCCTGTAAGTTCAGAGTAGAGCAGTTTTCCCACTCACCCTGAGGCAGGAGGAACGGCGGCAAGCCGAGCAGGTACTGCCGATGCGAGATCTGCAGTTGCTGCATGATCTGGTGCTGTTGCAGGGCGAGCTGTTGCAGTTGCAGCTGGAGCTGCTGTCGCCCCGGCTTGGCGCTCGACTTGGCTCCCGGAGACGAGTCCTGAGAGGCGATAGCAGATCCCGCGCCGTGGCTTCCGCCGCCACCGCCACTGCCGCTGCTGTTGAGCCCGTTGAGCTGCTGCAGGACTTGGCTCTGCTGGACCATGATGAACTGGAGCTGTTCTTGCAGGTGCGGGATCACCGTCTCCAGCTGCTTCTGCTGCTGCTGCTGCTGTTGGTGCTGCTGCAACCGGAACAGAAGAGGGCGTTAGAGGGAACGTCCGCTTCAGGCGACACTCGGCAAGGACAGTTGGTGACAGAAAGGCTAAAAAGGATAAGGGAACGAACACAGGGGGGGCGTTGGGTGGGAACGTCTGCTCAAGGCGACAATTGTCAAAGGCAAATGACAACAGAAAGACTAAGAAATGGGATAGACGAGTATAAAGCGTGTCTAAAATTCTTCTAGGCACTGTAACACGAGCCGGAAAAATTGGCGCCTGCAAAAAGAAAGCCCCAAACTTTCACTGAATGTGGATTTAGCACGAGCAGACAAAAAAGTGAGTCTCCTGTTCGCTCCGCTTATCGCGAGATGGCACCACAAGTTAGAACGATCGCTGACTCAGTCGTTTGCGAACACGTCGGGCGTTGATCTTGGTAAGTTTGTTGGTTTCATTTTTTTTCCGGGAAGGGAGCTAACTACGCCTTGAAATTTTACAAGATAGAATGCACCACCTAGATGAAGAGTTTATGAAAGGTTGAGGTGTCTATGTGCAAACGTCGGATTTTGCGGCTTGTTTTCCATCACCAAGGTTCATGGACGTCCTATATTTCGGTTGCTATTTTAAAACGGTGTTTCTGTAGTAGCCATATCTACGTGATGAAGCCATTACAAGGTGGCCGCTCGAGATCACGGTTTCAGAAATGTCTGAAAGGAAAATAGGTAGCACACCAATCGCCGACGACGATCCTTTCATTTCTGAGGCAGGCGGTCGTTTGAGTACTTTCAGGAAAACACAGTGATCATAAAACTTGCATTCTGAAAGGGCCGCTTAGACACAGTCAACCTGAGGATTCGTGACTTCCTTTCGTTAAGCGGCATGTCGAATATTGTTGAGATAAGGCACAAAGCGTGAAGTTGAAGGGGTCCCCAAATAGGTTGATCAAGCAATCCATGCCAAACCTAAGACATGACCGACAATTCAGCAGGGAGGGTTCTTGACCCTCCATCAGGTGTAAATTTGTTGATTGGGTTCAATAACACAAAGCACACAGACAAAACAAAATTAGGTGAATTGGTTTGCCATCACTTCGACATTTCTAATATGGGTATTACCTTAATACGTAAAATCTATATTACAATCTTTACTTTGATCTCAAGTCTGATGTGCCGGAATGACCAGCTAGAAAGATGTGTGCCTTAACCCCCCTCTCTCACTTCCGCCATTTTGACGAAACACGGGGATGTTTATGACTGCAGTCAGCAAAATCATCGTGCTCAGAATTTATTTCTTATAAACTGGTGTCATTTGTTTCTTTATACATCTTTTGCAAAATAAAACACAGAGAATGTAAAAAGAAAAACAACTCTAGGTAGGTCCGAGGCGACCCCAAGACCACACCCAAACTTCATCGCACACCGGATCTTTTTTTACACGAATTTTTTTCTTTAGCACTGTTTCTTCCGAGTAAAAAAAAAAAAAAATGGTGGAGAGGAGAAAGAAGCAGCAACATGATAGACACGATGTAAAAATAAAATATTAAAGGACAGTTGGTGCAAAGGAAGGTACGGGTAAGATACTTAAAAACACAACGCACGCTCCTTTTTGACACACGCTACCCCGTGATCCTATTTATGTGCACCGGTTGTTATTTCTTCGAACGCTCCATTAGATGATCATAATAATAAGTGACGCAGATCACGAGAGGAGGGGAAAGGGTATGCTTTATGTTACCTCTCTCTCTCTCTCTCTCTCGTTCCCTCGCTCTCTCTCTAGCTTGTCCGCCCACGCGCTGGCGTATGGTACTGTATCTTTTTTTTTTTAAAGTAGGGAAATGCGCAGAATCATTTTGTTGGTATTTAATAACCTTGTGTTCGACATATATACTTCAAATTTATATATCAGGGTTGTTTTTTTCTGTACGTGACGTTGTCGACACCTCGAGGTTTTTGAATAATTCAGGTTTTGTTCGGTTTGTTTATTTACTTCTTTTTTCGCGTGGCTGTGGGCATTGGAGGAAAAAAAATGCGGGAAACACCGTATCACGCGTTCAATATATATATATTTTTTTTTTTCCTCGATAACTTTGAGTATATTTATGACGTAAAACTACGTCTTTCTCCGCGCTTGAAAGGGCGTGCGAAGTTGGGAGGTCGATGTCACAAAACCTTGGTCACGGAAGTGACGTCACAACAGCCGCCCGCTGCCGAGAACCGCGCAGTCTGCACGCGCGTCCTTTCTTTCAGAGGACATGTTCTTCCCAGCAGTGGCGCGCGGCACGTGTCTCGAGCATTTTTCACAACGATGAATGGCGCCGCTTTTCCCAGCATAGAGAAGCTTTACTGCACATTTGCCTCTACTGGACTCCGAGCCACGGGAATAGGTGAGCGGCATTTAGCAACTTCCGGTTCTTTGGGAAAATTTGTTTAGCTATTGACAAAGGACGACGGTGATCTGCAGGCCTGTCTAGGCATGGTTCTACAGACAACAGTCTGGAGGTTTCAGATCCATGCTTGCTCAGGCTTGCAGCTCATTGCCGTCGTTTGTCAGCCGTGAAACAAAATTTCCTAAGGAACCGAAAGTTGCCAAACGCCGCTCACAGGCTCGTCGACGTTTCTTCAGCGGCGGCCGTAGTTTTACGGAAATCTATACAACCTAGTAAACCTAGGCACCTATTTTTTTATATTGTGCCAGCCTGGAGCATTTAGAGTCACTAAGTAAGCTAAGCTTCAGAGTAACGCCACTTTAGCCATGGATGGATGGATGGATGAATGCTAACGTCTGCACCCTTTGTAACGGGTGATAGCTTGCGCCACCTAGCCTTGGTGCTCAAAACTATTGTTGCCAGTTAACCGAAACATTACCCGAATTAACAGGGAACGCTTTTCCGTCCCCCAGGAGTATCAGAAACAACCCGTGATACACAAAAAAAAAAAAAAAAAATTATCCCCTGAGTTTATTGGCACGGCGTCTGAAGCTGAGGAAGTCTCATTTTCAAAACGAATCCATCAACAATGAACCCTTTTTCAAAAGTAACGCGCCATCTAGTATCTGCTGCGTCAATTAACCCCGTCCGCCATTTTGTTTGGGCACGTACTCTGAGCGTGTATTGGACACGAGTGCTGACGTCAGCGTTCGGCGAGGACCCGGATTCAATCGCGAGCTTCGTGTCCAAGCAATGGCGACCGCCAATGTTGCTCAATGGACTCTTAAAAAATGTAATCGGTAAAACAAAAATGACGCGCTACACATACAAAAAAAAAAAGAAAGGTTGGGGGGATTGCGTGCCGATACTCTGTGATCGTAGATTCAAAAAAAAAAAAAAAAATTGGAACAACCAAGAAATTAGCATTTGCGTCTGTGCAGTGTCCTTCTTTTTTCTTCTGCGTGTTGTGCGCATTCTTATTGCAATATTCGCCTTCTGCGTGTCGCCATCTTTGTCTACTGGGCTGTGGAACGCGTTCTGAGCATGCGCACTGGCCTAATGGCAGTCGCCGCGCGCATGAGTCCAGACCTCCGTGACTCCGCATTTTTCGCTCGAATAATAACCACTGTAAATCTGTATACGACCAAAGGACGGTCAAGTCGTCTGCTAGATAAAGAAAAGAAGCGAAAAGAGCTGAGCAAGCGTAAGAAAGAGAGGGGGAAAATAGAGAAAGTGAGACAGAAGTATAGAGGTATAAGGATATAAAAATATAAAAGTCCAGGCTAACTGGCGCAACCTACCGCCCGATACAAGCGGTATATAACCAGTATTATCCAGTCATATATAAAATAAAAAAAGGTCAGAAAAAAAAAAGATGCGTTCTATCAAAGGGCAAAGGCGGCGAAGTTGCCTTTCAAGTCGTACCATAAAACATAAAAAAACATATATTTATATTTAAAAAAAAAAAAAAATTTAATGTGCCGACGGCGATCACGGAGTGTCTCGTCTGCTTTTTTCACAATTTCACATAATTTTAGTTGCACTTTTTTTTTTCGTCCATCTCAAAACCGACAATTGTTCGTCTTCATTGCCGTATATTTCTATAGAAATAAGAAAAAAAATATTTCTGCTAACGCATCGATAAATTAACAATGGTTCGGTTCGTGAGGTGCGCAACAGACAGGGCCTCGTTGCGAAACCCAGCAACCCCCCCCCCCCCCCCTACAAAAAACAAAAAAAAAACACTAAATAAATGGTATAATGAGAGCATAAGGGTGGAATGAGAAAGGAAGATAGAAAGAAAGACACAGGAAGAAAGAAAGGAGGGGCACAAGACAGCGAAAGAGCATGGAACATCTGATATTGATTGGGCCGTTAATTCTTCGGTCGCGCCCAGCAAAAGAGACGAATATTTTAACTTCTGCCTGCACTGTAAATTTTTTTCCCTTTCTACTACGTCTGTTTTTGCGTGCGACACTCGAAGATTTTCGGTTCCGTTTCAGTGTCGCCTCGCGTTTTCTCCGCAACAAGCTTATACGTGCCGTCCCGTTTTATCTGTATCTTCATTTTTAGGTAGCACATCGTTTTCAGCTCTGTTGAAATATTTTTTTTTGTGCCCTACAGTCTAGTTACGATGCGCATTCGAATAATATTTTTTTTCTTTAAATTTTTTTACTTTTTCCGCTAAGTTTTGCTTATTCCTAGTCCCCAACTCTAGCGCAGCAAAACTGAGAGCAAATTTAAGAGAAAAAAACAAAACCTGAAATACAGACAAGAGCAGAAAAAGAAACTAGTAATCAAGCTCATCTAAATAAAGAAAGAAATCAAATTCAGCTCACAAAGAGAAAGAAATATAAATATAGCGCAAAAATTAAACAGGCGGAAACGGAATTATTTCGAGAGCAACGAACGACGAAAAAAAGAAGGAGAAGGAGAGAGAGAGAGAATAAAAAAAAAACAGAAATTAAAAAAATTAAATTCGGGATGGCTCGGAGACAATTAACCCTCGGCGTCAGCACATTTCCCGAAGCGCCATGTGCAAAGCGTCGTTAGCATTAAAAAAAAAAAAAAAAAAAAAAAGACTACGTTGGATGAATGCTTGCTTTATTGCAATTTTCGCAATGGGAACAACAGCAGCACAGAGTTAATTCGCGGAATAATATCGGCCTCGAAAATCAAACGGCTCACTGGCGCCATCGCGATTTTGCTATGGCCTAGTTGTTTCCCCAGCGCGGTAAACAACAAGCACTTGCCGCAGAAATGTGAAACACGCCTGACAGTGGCCAATTATAGCTGATCGCACGAGGCATTTTAATAACAAAATTATTATATCGCGATCCTGCTGCTAATACCGATGTACTGGCAGCACGATCGTGGATTAATAGTTTACGAAAAATAATAATTAATAATAATTTACGAAAAGACAGCATGCAGACAGCGTCCGAGGAGCGTTCCTTCCTTGTATAATGACCCTTTTACATTGGTCGTACAAACACTGTCTGCAGTGGAATTTCCGGAAATAATTCTCTCATAACGTCTGCGGTGAAATTCCGTGTGCTTTTGTGTTTTCTTTTGTGTGTGTGTTTTGTTGTTTTTTGTATGATGTATGGGCAGTGTGAATGCGGCTTTTTGGGTGGCTTGAGAGCTGGTATTGTTTTCTAAGTCAACCGAATCTGTGTTTGTGTCTCTTGTTAGACTCGGCACTCTCACAATGAGGGTCACAAAACGATGCAAAAAACAAAAATACAATGGCAAAAGAAACAAGCAAAAAAAAAAACACTACTATTATACTTTTATGCACTTCTTTATAGAAACAATGAAGTGTCTATCGGTTGCGAGGTATACTGAATGTAAATTTCAAGTTTACTTAATGTATACTTCAGATATTGAAAGCATATTGGGGTATACTCGAAATATACAACGAACGTACTACTTCGTGAAAAAAAAAAAAAAAAAAGGAGTAATTGCGAGATTAGTACGCCTTCGGGCGTATCGCTTTTCGGAAAGCAAATTGAGCTCGCACGAACTACCTGCAAGCCTTTCACAGAGCAACAGCTACACGTTGCGACGTTAAAACCCGGGGTTGACATGTGCATTTCAGGGCTGAAATAACGCAAACTCAGCGCGACATCAGCGCTGCTCTCACTGCAGATGCAGCGCTGAGCTAGTTTACGCAATATCATAGCTGCATCAAAGCACTGACGCAGCTACGATATATAACGTAAAGTCGTTTTTTTTTTATTCTTTATGAAGCTGAGCAAAGGCTGATTCACACACTTACGACAACTTACGACCGAGTGTTGTAAAATATCTCAAAAAACATAACGGCAAGGGACCAAACTGGCGCCATCTATTGGGCAGCCGCGGAACACTTTCAAATCACATAGACGCTTTAGAGTGGATCTAAAATCGTGCGGCACGCTTCGTCCTGGGGCTGTACGACCGCTTTTCGAGCGTCACGGACATGAAGAGTACATTAGGCTGGGATTTGCTGACATTCAGGCGGAAAAATTTGCGCTTAAAATTTCTATATAGCATTTATAATAAACACACTGGTATTAACGGTTTTCATTACCTTCTACCCCCTTACTATATTTCCCAACGTAAAGATCATATCCACAAAATACGCGAATATTCCACCAGGACGGAACTGTGCAAAAATTCTTTCTTTGTTAGGACCATTAGGGATTGGAACAATTTAAGTGTTGAAACTGTTTGTGCCGCAAATGCAGAAATGTTTTTTTCTATGTTGTTCGCCCCCTGCAATAATGCCTCAACGGCGCTGCAGGAGCTACCTGAATAAAGAGTTTTTATTATATTTCCTGTTCCTTTTTCGTGCATATTTTCTTTTCTTTTTTTTGAGGGGGGGGGGGGGGGTTAAAATACTTTTCACAATGTTATCGATGACAATTTCTCATAAATGGTACCTGCCGTTTGATGTCGCAAATACTGCAAAACCTTCGCTCTAGTGAAATGCAGTTCCAGGGTCACCACACAGGTGGCGCCAGCGTGTCACTGTGTTTCTTAGTCGTAAGAGATCAGCAAAGCTACGGTCCTAAGCAAGCGTAAGTGATCAAAACTCGAACCCTGCTGCGTATACGTGGTGTGACGGCACTCAAATCTGCAACCCCGAGCGAGGCATTACGCGGAAGGCGCCCTGCTCGGAAGCTGATAGGGCGTGAAAACCGACTTGCCCGAAACCGCGTACCGGAGCGTGACGCCTCGTGCGCTCACGTCGCCTGTAAACAGATTAAGCTTGGCCTTGCGCTATCTTTGTACGAGGCTCGTGGACCCGTCATCCTCCACGCGCGTCGGAGTCGCATATTAAGGGTCCGCAACGACTTTGAGCCCGTAAACAAATATGGGACGCGTATTGCGCGGCAGAAGGATTGCGACGCGACCCCGCGCCGCATGACATCCGCGGACAGGTAGAGAGACTAGATTTCAGAGAGGAAGCAACTTAAAACACGGAGTGCGTGTGCAAGGTAATGGCAGACGCCTCCTGCACAAATTCGTTGCTCACGCGCATGCGCGTTACAGGAGGATGACGCACGGAGAAGCCGAGCAAACGCTTGGGGGTGCGCGCGGACTACCGACGAATGCGCTACCTTCTCGCACCTTGTATTGCGAACCGAGAAGTTGGAAACACCCTTAGGTCTAGGCACCCTAGCCGCAAGTTCGGACAGTAACACGTGCACGGTGTTGAATAGCGGAACTATGATTTGCGTGTCCGGGACCGGCTAACAGTCCTACTCATCGTTTTCTTCTTTGAATCTTCCGTCGCCCTCTCTGCGTTCTAGATTTAATCGCGCTTTTTTATATATATTTAAGCGGCAGCGCGTACCTTTTTATAAGCAACTTCTGGAGCAGTAGGATAAAATTAGCTTCTTAGGCTACCAAAGTCCGAAACATAGTCAGCACACTCGTAGGGAAATACAAAGATACCAAGCTGACAGCCAAATACGTGCGACCAGTCCGCTATGTTTGTGTAACGCAAATGCCAGCTTTTTTCGTGTTTTTCTTTTTTAAGCAGCTTCGGTTTAGATTGGAATGCAAAGTCTAAGTCGCAGTCCTATTTTTAGAAATGGCTAGGTTTTTGGGGAACGTAGGCGAAGCAAAGGGCCGTAAGAAATACCTCAGATCATACCGCCCAGATGGAATGGAGGAGGGTGGCGATAAGTTTCCCATGCATTATAGTCTCTTGCAACATATGGCCTGCAGCCACTGAATTACCAGAAAGAAATGACGTAGCTAATGCAATCAGCACGAAAACACTATGTTTCTGAAATCATGGGGTGAAGAAGGAGAATCAATCAGCGACATTTTCCTCAAGGTTAGGTGCCAGACAAGAAAACACAAAAACAAAAAAAAATGTTTACGTGGAAAAAAAAAAAACAAAAAAACACGAAGCGCATCTGGCACGCCCCAGCGAAGGACTGAAAAGTGAATTCTGACCACGCGGAGACCTTCGGACGTGCAAACGAAATCTCAATTACCATGGCACCTTCTCCGCCTCTTCTCCGCAACCTTTTTTTGTGTGTCCCGTAAAAAAAGAAAAGAAAAAAGGTTATACCGAATGTTAAAATGCACCTCGGCGCATTGGGCATTGAGTAAAGTTCTGTCTTGTGGGCGTGTTTTCTCCAACAGTACCTTGGTTGCTAGGAACAATGTACTTGTCCAAATAAAACTCGTCAAGTGGATCTTCCGGAATCATCAACTGCCTTGGCAATATGTATGGCTCCGTGAAAAGCCTCAGCATGGCTAATTCACGGATGTCTCGTGGACGTGCACAGGATCATTTCTGCCACCAGGGCCATGGGTTCGAAGTTCGCGTACCAGGCGTACGGTTCAGTGTCTTTGCGTGTCCGTTGGAACACTTGCCTGCTGCTGGAAGAGGAAGGTCTGCTGCTGCGTGGTGAGTATCTGCTGTAGCTGGGAGGGCGAGAGGACCTGCTGCTGCAGGATCTGCTGCATCTGCTGCTGGGCCAGGCTGTTCATCACCAGCAGCGGGGACAGGTCCGGGGTCCCAGGACCCGTGGGGCTCGCGCCCAGCCCCGTCTTGGCGGCCACCTCCCAACCGCCAGAGGCCGCCGCCGCCGCCGCCACGGCTGCCGCCGCGCGCTGCTGGAGCTGCAGCTGCAGCTGCTGCGTCTTGGTCGTCCCCAGCGGAGTCTACAGGGAAGAAGAAGAGCGTGTTAGGTTCACGTGACTGTTCTAATACATGCGCCCATACACCCTTACAATGTTCACAGAATTCACAACCCGGCGTGCGTCCCCGCAGTCCAGCACGTGCATGTTCGACGCTTCAGAAAGAGAGCAAAACCCACGCTAACGTGTGACTTGACGTTGTGGTTGCCTTGGTTCTGAAAGCGTGCCTTCAGCGGCATACATTTCGCATCACGGATTCTGCTTTTCTAGGTAAGGGGGAATGTCCACCAGCATGATGCGATGACGTCAACGCGCACACTATATCTGCTCAAGAAAACTGAAACTTCCCCTGGCCAAAAGCCCGTTCCTGGAAAATGTTCGCTGGCGGCCATAACTGTGCGCTTTCGAATGAGAGCGTGCTGACAGCGAGGGATCGCCAGGTTCCTTTGAAAGCGTCAAGTTGGCTTAACCCCCCTCGAAACAAAAAGGGCCCATTAGGCCACGTGTAGGGAAAAATAAAGTACGTTTCAAACAATAACGCCCTGATGACGCCACGTGAATAACTTGTACACATTGCTTGCACGTAACGATTGTACCATGGCGATGGTCATTCCCCCTCGTTTTTGCCCTCCAAAAAAAAATTATTTCGGTGGTGCAAAATGTACGCAAGGTCACTGCAAGGTCACCACAATGGCCGCTGATGGGAGGTCGGCGCAATCCATGCGTACGAACGAAATTTTCAACCTTAAAAAGTGGCTGAAGCGATATTATTTATAGTTATACGAATAAACACATCACGGCCATGACGCATAAAAATATAAATCTTTTATTTTTTGTTGTTTACACGCGCTGGCTCGCGTAAGAAAGTGTGTTTACGAAGCTCAAATTCCTTTTCCTTATCAACTTTCTTTTTTTTTTTCCTTACGATCGTACGACCGCGCCCCTTAGCAAAACAAACAAGGAAATAATTACATCTTAGCCATTACAAAGAAACCGCAACCCTCAAAAGTAGCAAGACAATGGGGAAAAAAACAACGAATGATGCTGCTGCCAATGCAATTTTCCAGCGCTTATCACCTGGGCAAAAATTACGGAGTCGCTGAGCTGTGAACGCAAGCGAAGCGTCTGATATAACGTACAACGGAGCACGCTCAGAAGGCATTCCACAGCCCAGCAGACGAAGATGGCAGCGAGCACAAGGTGATTTTCGGAAAGGTCTACAACCGCTTTTCGAACCCTATAACGTTACACGGGAGACTTGGGCCGTGTTGCAAAAGTTTCTCGATCTTACACCAGGGTAAGGGTTTCCCACCCCTGGCGTTCTAAACCCAACCCGCGTCCAGCGTTTTTTTCTTTTTGATTTGTGTTGTTACGTGACACGACCCGCCGGAGTAACTCGGACACATTTCTGTAGGATTTGAAACACAGCCTTGGTGTGGTATGACGCCATGCCGAGATTATTGCGTGCTTATGGGTTCATTGTTACCAGCTTCGTCTTCACGGTTTCTTGTGCACCGCTGCTACGATAGATGCTTATTTATTTACAAAATTATTTATTTACAAAACAGTGATCACATTAACAGATACGCGAAAGACATGGAAGCCGGGGATTCTCAGTCACCTTCTAACCAAGCTGAGATGAGGACTTTTATAAATTGCAGTTCGCAGTTCCCCTCTCTCTAAAGATTTCCCTTTGAAATACCAGGAACATAGTCAATATACGAAAACAAAGACGTCAGATCTAAGGAATAAAAACACAACAACAATAATAAAGTATGTTGTTTACGTTAGCACGAAGCATCCATCTTCACTGAACTCCGCCGCTTCACCTGGCACCCTTTTGCTCGATCTCAACCGCCTCGGCACAAAGTTCTCGTTTATCAGAAAAGAAAAAAAATTTACAACAACATTGATTTATTACCGCAGGCTGACTTGCGTTCGAGACGAAGTTCAAGTTTGTGTTTATGTAGTTGTCGGAGGAAACGAGAATCGTCCACGCTCGGATCTTTCATGGAGACAGCGTGGACTTTAGCGTATGCCACAAACTGTCACTACATAAACAATGAGCCAGACATACCACGGGGCATAGACGCGCTCGGGCTGGCGTTGAAAAATAGCACGGAGGAGCACACCACGCTAGATCGTTCGCAACACCAAAGTGACAGCCAATCGCGTGAACATTTTATTAACGCTTAAACTGAATATCAAGTTATCATAATTTCTTTTCGGCATGCTCGCTACGAAAGTCCCACAAACAGTAAAATTAAAGGAAGATCCATTGGCGGATCCTTACGGAATGCACGAGCACGATCCTTGGGGAAACTCCACAGACTTCCCCAGTTGGGAAAGGCAAACGCTGACCCCTTCCACTTTTCTGTTTTTACTTTTTCTTTTGCTTCCTCCATATTTTGCTGCTTCTTTTCGGCTTCGTTACCGAGTCAGTGCTAGCGTTTCTCAAAGCAGGACGTGTGTGGCGTTTTTCAAAGGTCATGCTAGCGGATTCCTAAGCATTCCTTCTTGCGCTGCATTTCGGCCAACCGAGAGAGGCGCTGCTCCTGCTCCTCTGTCTCGTTCGCCCGCCATGCACGCTTAGCAGCGGCATCCGGTGCCTGGCGCTGCTGCAAGTTCAAACTCTCGTCAAGCATCCGCGCGCTCATTGGCTTCCACCCCGTGACGTCACCTCCCTCTCGCCTTTATCCTCGACTACTTTCCTCCTCTCTGCGCGGCGCGCTTCCCTTTCCACTGTGTTGTCCGCAGACGGACGACGTCAGCTTTTCGCTGTCGTGTGGGTATTAATGCTAACGCATTAAGAAATAATGAGGGCTAGGTTTAGGCAATTCAAAAATTCATGCGTTAGTTAAAAAAAGTGTTCGTTAACTGTTACTTTTTGAAGAATGAAACACATCATTACGTTCGGGCAATTTTAGTTAAGATCAGCACTAGAATCATGCTGATGCAGACGAGAGATTGGAAATTCCTTTTCAGAATCAAGTTGGAGCAGTTATATTTGAAACGAAGGTGAACTGGAAATCGTTTCACTTACGATTCGAGATAAGATGGAACGAATTCCCATTTCCGTCTCACCATATATAATATGACGGTGGGGCTCCTTCGTTAGAGCTGAAAAATCATGTTGTTTCCTACAATAATATTGCATCGCCTGCAATGGAACAAAGACAAGAACGAAGGTTATGTTTCTCCGCCTGCACACCGCATCTGAGGAGAAGCCGAAAATGGTCCAAGAAAAGGCTCGACTCGCTCGCGCGACGGTAAGGCACTGCGGAAAAGCGGCATCTTTTTAAGGTTCAGGGCTGTGTGGATAATCTGCCTCGCATAAACGTATGACAGAAGCGCGCGACAAGTTGTTCTTTTGTCTCAAGTATAAAATAATTGTTTTTCCGAATCGTTTTTTTTTTTTATTATTATTTTCGGCCGTTCCGGCTGGCAGAAAAAGGGGAACTCAAAAAGCATACCCCAAAAGATCCTTGCTACTCGAAAAAGTAAGTCAATGAGAATCACTGTACAAAGTACAATTTAGTAATTTATACGAATAAAAGTACCACAAAATATTAAAAAAAGGCATTAAAATAGTTATAAAATGCACGACCCATCAAAACGCAACCAAGCAAAAAAAAAAAAAAAAGGCTCGAGCTGTACAATTTTTGCCCCTCTAATTAAAGAATCGTTCACCCCATTTCTCTACTTTTTACTGTTTCCCTCTTTGTCCTTAAAATTTAAGGGTCGGTTAAATCAAGGCAGCGTTAAATGTTATTCCCTGACAATCGCTGTTGAGGCTGTCTGATCAAAAAAAGAATCAACTCCTCATCAGTCACCTCGCCCAAAAGTCATTAGGTGAACACAACGTGACAGGTATACGAATGCTTCTACAATCACCCAATTTTCATATACAAAAGACAAATTAAAAAATAAATACATCCGCAAAATTTTCTCATCAATCGGTCTTCCTTATCACTGCTCTTAAAGAAGAAAACTTTTTTTTTTCTAACAGACGGAGAAATTCAACGTTCGTAATTACTCCCTTATATCCTCTCGGTTATTTTTACCTTTAAAAAAATGTTTCGAAAAAAAGAAAAAAACAAAAAACCTAGTTCCTTTTTTTAAGTTTTGCTTTCCGAGGAGACCAAACACACTTTAAGAACAAAAAACGAAGTGTAGACATAAGGCTAAGAGAAAAGTGTGCCTGCGTGGCAGTAATTGTCATCGAATGACCGAGCGCATCTCATCGTCGATGCGTCGGTATTCCTTGGACACCTTTCTTGGGGAAAAAGGACTCCCTTAATGTCCCGTCGGGTTCGTCGAAACGAAAAATAGTCCTGCCCTCCACTAGGCACAAAATTTAGAACGGCGATAGTAGCCATGCAGCCATTGAGCGGTACACTATACAGTACTGCCCCCCCCCCCCCCCCCCTTCCTATCTTTCTGCACCGATTTCCACTTGAACCGAGTCCGACAACTTTAATTTCTTTTCGAAGGACGGAAAAGAAAAAAAGTAATTTAAGGAAAAAGAAGTTATCGGGAGACAACTGGGGTCGTCCGTGCTTATCTTTTGGAAACATACACAGGCCCACGCGGAACAATTCGACAGGAATCGTATCTTTTACCGGCTTTTCACGCCTACTTTATTTTTTTTTTTTTGTTCAACGTGGAGTAACTTTTCTGAAATGTACTACACGCCCTCTGATCGTGCGGAGAAGAATAGGCAGACTGCAGCGAGAACAAAATAGGGAGGAATTTCGGGAAAAAATAGAAGGGGAAAAAAATATAAGGAGACGACCAGTCGGAATTCGGTGTTATCGTTGCACGATTAATCACGGAGCTTTCGCTTTTAATTCCCTGGGCCTTAAGAGTTCGGTTCGAGTTTTCGTGTTCATTTTGAAGCCACGCCTCTTCCCCCCCCCCCCCCCCCCCCCCCGCAACCTGGTTCCCTACTGGTTCCTCATCTTCTCATTTTCGATCCATTCTGGAACCGATGGGGTGTCGGCCAATCAGAGGTCTTCGTGACG